GCTGTTGGCAGGCTACCAGCCAAGGTGACAGGAGTGACTGGGCCATGATCTCTCATCCTCTAGCAAGCTAGCTCAGGCTTCTGAACATGCAAGTTGTTATATCATCCCCAAAACAACAAAAGAGAAGGAACTCCAGTGAACAGGTATTGCTCTGTTTGTGGCCTTTTCTATATTCCCCTTGGTTAAGCAAATCACAAGGGCAGCCAGAGTCAGTATGGGAAATAATGAATGATGGTTTTTCGAGCCTACCACAATCATCACTGTCTCCATCATTGTAAGAACTAATATTTGTTGAGCATTCACTAAGTGCCAGATATTGTTCTAATCCCATTATATTTATCAAAGCTTGTAACTCTAGTCACAACTTTATGAGGCAGATACATTTATGTCCCCCATATTAGAGGAAAGGAAATCGAGGCACAGAATGACAAAGCAACCTCTCTAAGTAAGGTCACACAGCCAGGAGGTAGGGAGCCAGGACTCAAAGTAGTGCTCCAGAGCCACCGTAGTGATGACGGTTCTATACTGCCTTCTCTTCCCACTCCTGTGGGGGTGAGGGGTTTCCATGATTTCTTCTTTTATAAAAGTGAGTAATCAGATAAGAGATACTAACCAGATTTTGACATGGTCTCTGAATAATACTGCGTCTAGTACTACTCAGCATTTTCCCAACTAGCACCTTGAATTCTGATCATCCAGAATTGGATGGCCAGAACATATTCACACAGAGCTTGGAAGAGACCTGTGAGCTCTTTCTGGTTCCTTAAGGTGGGGTGTTAGCCAAGGTGGTAGCAGCTCAGACCACTGTTCTTAGAGCCCTTCATCTTCTATTTCTTCAGACAAGTCCGAGGGCCTAGAAACAAGTGGCTGGTGGCAATGAGGAATGATAACTTAATATAAACAGCGTTAATATATTTATTAGTCATTTCTTGGAGGTAAGTTGCAACATTTTTTGAGAGCAGAGATTATGGTTTTCTTGCTATATGCTCAGTAATTATCACAGGCAAGAATACACAGAGAACACGTCAGAGGAGCTTAATGTAGTGTTTATCTACATTCATATCAAAATCTCATTAAGACAAAGGTCCCAAACAAATGTACCAATGGCAATCAGTTAGTGGCCAGATGTGATCAGGAAAGCGATGGATACTGGCACCAACTGGTGAGTTCATGTTCCATCTTGCAGTGGAAAGCCTAGTTATTTGAGGCTGTGTAGGCATGCTCATTGCTACTGGACTGTTCCAGGCTTCAGGATGCTGTATGTAAACTTTCCTGATTTTAAAGCCCCGTGTGTCTGTTGAAACCAGTCCATTGGCTAAGTCTGGCTCATGGCCATCTATTTGTGACCTCCTACATTAAGCACCTGTTGGTACTTCTCCATTGCATTATTACTATCCTGAAGCCCTGAGGTGGAGGGTGAGACACAGAGTAAGGTGAAAATGGAGCTGTGAAATGAGAAGAAAGACATCAAGAAGGATTGAGACTTGTCTATTTCTAGGATTCCCCAGAGGTCAAGGAAATGGAAATAAAAAATTCGATTAGAACAAATTATTTGATATAATCATTTATAGACTAAGTGTTCTAAATCCTTGGTTCAACGACTTGAGAAATATTCAAACACCCAGTAAAACAAAATAAAATATTTTTTTTTACTTAAAGCATTTCAATTATCTTTAACCTTCTGTTATGAAATATAAATCTACAAAAGGGAGAATATTTACTGATTTTCAAGCTTCTGTGATCAAGGAGTCCTTAGGTTATGCAATCCTTTATAAATCTAATATTTTGAGTAAAACATCTTAAAAAAAAAAACTATATTAAAGGACTGAATGAGACATGGGGAATCTATGAAGGGTGATGTGGAGAGTGGAGTGCAGACAATTGCAGGCAGGGTTCAGTGGGCCAGCAGAGCAACTTGGCCAGTGAAGGATACAGGCAAACCATTAGAACCAGGAACCGTTCCGCACGTTGGTTTTTGAACAAAGCCTCCTAGCATCATTCCTGTGGTGAAAATAACAACAAAAAGCACCAGGGATTGCCCACCTCTGATGGGTTAAGCTCTTTGCTTTAACAGTCCAGGCTCTGTCTTATCACTTCCTCTGAGCTTTCTCATTGCCCTTATAACCTCCAATCACGTGCTGCTCTAAACACCTTGCTCTATGTGCTGTTCTAGGACACAATCTGCATTTTCCCGCCTCTTCACTGTTGCTTCCACTGTGAGTTACTTCCCCCACCTGCTCCAGTTTGGGCCACACTGCTTTCCAAGGCTCAGGTCAAACCCTGATTTCCCTGCTGAAGCCCTTAGCTATCAATCCTCACAGAGAGTTCTTTTCCCTAATGTCTAGAGAATTTACTTCTGACACACTCGCATGGACCTTAGTGTGTTGGGGATTGCCTTTATGATTTGGAGCTGAGTGAAAAAAATCACACCCTGAGCCGTGTAGCTGTCTCCCCACATTGGCCTTCACAACACAGCCAGATAAGGCTAGGATGATGCTGTCCAGCAACACCATGAGAGCACAGGAATAACCCATCGCACTGAATTGCATAGACTCTGCTCTGTAGTTCTTTGAGGATGGGAGAATATATTCTGTCCTTTGACTTACCCAATAGTAACAGGCACCACTTCTAGATACTAGGTCAAGCACGTCGTGTGTCAAGTAAATCTCACAGTGTCACTAAGGAGTCATATAATTACCCCCATTTTACAGAGGAAGAAACTGTCTCAAAAGATTCAAGTCCATATGCTCATGTTTATGACTAGCTCTCTAGTGGGTCAAGGCAGAGCTAGGTACACAACCCCACATACCTGGCTCCAAAGATTGGGCTGTGTCCCAACACACCATCTTCATGGCCATACTGACCACTAGAAATTTAATGACAGAGAATTAAGTCTCTGAATTCACCATCTGCCTCCAAGTGGCCAGGGTATATCCACAGGCAGAGGAAATTAGAGTAGAAATCTGGTTAAAGTCACTGTGGTTTGAATTTTATGGAAGTTCTGGGTACAATGGAGAATCTCAAAAGGACCCAGCACAGCTCAATAGGGGACCTCTTGAGGGCCCCGGTCAAGGTGCAGTTTGGAGTGTGCAGCACCATGGGGTACATGAATGCCTGGAGGATATGTGAGGGTCTTCCCTTTCCTGGACACTGATGCCACCAAAGAGGGTGGCATTGCCACCCTATCATGAGCTCTTTGCTTTCTGTCTCCCTTATAAGACTGAAAGCTCTTTGAGTGGAGAAGCTGTCTAATTTACCCAGTCTCGAGGCAGTGACTGATATATAAATGCAAATAACTATCTGTTGGTTTGATGAATGATTGACAAGTCAACCAAGGCAAGTGCTCAAGGCAGCATGATGAAGACAACTCAGGGTAGTAAACCTTCTGTCGGAGTGTAGATTGCTCACCCAATGCTACATTTCTCCCTGCTGTTCCATGCACTGTCTGGAAGACTCTGGCTCTCCAGAACACTTGACAAAACCCAAAACTTTCTTGCAACAATATCAAACCTCATAATATTCTGACCTTACCCTTTAAATTAGATTGTGAAATCCTGCAGCACCAAATCATGTGCCACTTTTTGCACCTACCCGCTGTCTTTTTTTTTTTTTCTGATTATGTACCTAGAGTTTCAGCTCCTCTGAAGGCTAAGAGGGGAGGATCACTTGAGCCCAAGAGTTTGACTCCAGCCTGGGTAACACAGCCAGACCCCATATCCCCAAAATTGGAAGAAGGTGCTAATTGGTGCTACTTGACACTTCTCGTTCTTTTTCTCTCTCGCTCTCGCTTTCTTGCTCGCTCTCTCTTGAAATCCATTTTTATTTATTTTTCATTAGTTTAAATCATTGAGGGGTACAGCATCACATGGATTCTGCATCCAATGGCCTTAGCAGGAAGGTTGCTTTTGAACTTGCCCAAACCATGCCACTTTTCCCATGGATACAAGTTTACCTTTCACCAGATTCTTCTGGTTTTGTTTAGTTTACTGCCAGGAGTTACTGTGTAATTTTTTTTGCCTTCTACACAGTAGCACAACTCTTGCCTGAGTTGAATTCACTTTCATCTCTAGTATAAACACCTTGGACTTTAGGAAGAGCTTTGTACTCCCTTTGGTTCCAGAGACACTGATCATAGCCAGCAAAAGTGTCCTTGCACCACAGTCTTCCACATGTTTGCCTTTTAGAAGTCCCGTTCCCAGCAGCCCTTCACAGGCTCCAAGATGACAGAAATGCCTGCCCTGTGTCTCTCAACACAGTGCCTTGTAGAGAGCTGTTCATCATGTTGAGCTATTACTTTAGAATGGACCAGGGCATGATGGGGAATCTGTCCCAATAGTATAGTCCCCTTGAGATCATTCTTGGAGAGTTCAAGTGATCAAGAGAGATAAAATCATGATAGTGACAGAGACAGGGCAGAAAGAGTGGGCAGGAGCTGTCAACTCTTTGGATGTGGGAGGTAAGGGAGGAGGAAGGGAAAAAAAAAGATTCAAAGAGTGTCCTCAGCTGATAAAGGATGATTATGCCTGAGAGTGAAATAGAGAGGTTCTTTTTCCCCCTGACTCTCTTGTCCTCACTTCAATTTGAGCATGGAGCAAAGATTCCCCATGAATGTTTTGTGGAGGCAGATAGGCATGAGACAGTCATGCAGGATAGTCGGCAAGGACAAGAAGGTTTGCCCTGTCTCTTTGCAGAAGAGCTTTGCTCTCCTGTGGAGGGGGAGAAATTCGAGCTGAATGTATTTTTGGTTGGTACAACTTTAAGTGCTCTGTTTGATAGCAGGGTTGTTTGAATGGCCTATTTCATAACTACACATAGCTTTTCCAAATAGACGGTGTCTGTAGAATGTTCAGGTTAATGCATGAGTCCATTGCCCAAGAGTGTTTGCACTTCCAGCGACTGGGCCTTCTTTCTTAATAAGTCATGCTGGCATTTTGTCAACAGGTTAATTTGCTTTTCTAAGAAACTAGATTAATACTTCCTGTGCTTTGTGCTATTCCCAGATCTACAATGCAGTGAGAAGAGGAGAAGAAACAGAAAATACAGTTGGATCTCTTCTCCATTTCTTACCAAAGCTTCCAGCCTCTGAAACAGTCCATGGAGGGATTAGCATTGGTCTGTGCTTAAAGCAATGTGTCCAAGACACCGTGTGTGAGTACCGTGCCACCCTCCAAAGGACTTCCATAGCTCAGTACATCACCGGTTCTCTCCTGGAGGCAACCACATCTTTAGGAGCAAGAAGTGGCCTTCTCAATACTTTTGGAGGAGCCACTGGACGAATGATGCTGAAAGGTAATGTCTGAAATTTTACTTTTAACTTTGCACCTTTCCTTCAGAGAAGAATCTTAGATAACCTTTAGGTAACTCTTTATGGAAAATTGAATTCACATATCAGCAACTCTAAGTTAACTGCTTTGAAAGAATACAAAAGAGTATTCCCTTATTAAAATCCTGTAAAGTATAAACCTTCTAGTAGTAAGCCTTAAGATTTTTAAATTCCAAGCTGGGGATGTAGCTCAGTTGTTAGAGTGCTTGCCTGGCATGCACAAGGCTCTGGGTTCAGTCCCCAGCACCACACACACACACACACACACACACACACACACACATACACACTCATACACACACACACACACATAAATAAATAAAGATTTTCAAATTCCTTTTTCTAAAGAAGTAAATGGTTAAAATGCTACCTTTAATTCAGGCAGTTGGTTTTTCTTAGTGGTAACACTTGACAGATATCAATTACTATGACAAGAGGAGAGTAAACAAATATGTTCATTGAAAACCAGCGGTGGCTGGACACAGAGTGAAGTACAGAGCTCCTTCATACACAGAATCGATAGGTTCCCGTTGATCAGAAAAGCCAAGGACCATCTTCCATGACTCCCACCTTAAAGGACAAGATAGGCAGGCAAAGTTCTGAAAGATGAGAGCTGATGGAAAATGTGGTCCCTCAGCATCTGAACCTTTCTGCTACTTCCCACGAGTGGCAGACAGGCAGGTCAGAAATGGCAGCACACCAAAGAACCCCAGAGACTTGCTCACTGCACAGCTGTCACAAGCCACTTGGCAGTTTTCCCTGGCAGGAAGTTACCAGCCAGACAGGGACCATGCAGAGCTGTGTTCCAATCCCTGGGGGCTGCCAAGTGCTCCATCTGATATCTGACCGTTTCTCTCTCTCAAGCAGAGTAGCTGTTGTTCCTCCACAGTGAACCTGAGACAGCAGGCTAGCAGACCAGTGAGCTTGCTCCTTGATCCTCAGCCTCCCCCATGCCATCCCCACACACACCCTGGGTAGGTTTAAGAGGAATACCACCGCCCCTCTGTTGGGTGCCATGTTGATTTATTTTCTGGAATCACTTTAACTTCTGGGGATTGGTTTTAAATGATGAATGAAAAAACACACACACAATGTGAGAACATTAATCCAAGAGACTAATAGGGAGAAACTTGATTTCCTAGAAAGGGTGATTTGCTGGGAAGGGAAAAAAACAATTTCCCCCTCTCATAGACCTTATAGTTTCTAGGTGGTAAGCATGTTTTCCTATGCACAAGATCCAAGATTTCTCCACCCTGATGTGGACCCCAGAGAATAGCTGTTGTGCATTCTCTATGAGTACTGTTTCCAGGAAACTGAGCTGAGAAGAGCATATGGAATTGGCATTACCTTGGTGCTTGTGACTATATGCTAGGACCTCACCAACCTGTGTTTTTTAGATACACACTCTGCCCAACAGAGTGCACGTGCTATGGGAGATCCTGTGGAAGTATTAAGTCGGTTGCTGGTCAGCGTATCTGTTGCCCTGATAGTAACTTGATCTTGATTTCTGTTTGCCCTTCCTGTTCAGTGTAGACCCTTGTAGATCAACATTCCCAGCACAGAGACTTTGGTAATGTGTGATCTTCCAATTGGCATTTTAAGACTGAGCTGGGCTTTTATCTTTTTCTTTCTTTCTTTCTTTTTCTTTTTTAAAAAATGTTCTGTTTTGCAGCTCTTTAATGGTTTCTGATACCTTCTGTAAGTAGCTCCTGTTGAATAACACAATTAACTGGTTGCCTTCTGCCCTGGTCTTATTTCTATAGTTTCTGGCCTGCTTTAATCCATTTTCAACTTCAGTCCCATCCCCCAAGGGTTTTCAAAGTCTTTATGTGCCTTAATTAAACATGTTTCTTCAATATGCAGCAGGAAACAAAAAACAGGAACAAAAAAACCATGTGGGTTTCTCACCACACAAAAAAATGATAAGTATATGAGGAAAAGCATACATTAGTTATCTTGATTGATTGAGCCATTCCACAATGTAACATATGTCAAAACATCAGTTATACGCAATAAACATACATAATTTTGTCAACTTCTGAAAATTAAAAATGTTTAAAATATCAGATGGATGGATCATCAAGTCACAGAATATTCACAGAATCTGTAGGATCAGCATTTTGGCTCATGGGTGTTGAGCTCTCTGATGACCAGATAGCCATATATTCCACCAGGGCATCTGGAGGTAGTGGTGGCTGCCATGGTTTTTGGCTATTTTTAATGGTTCAGTGTGTCCTGTGTCATAAATTTGGTCAACAACTTTGAGTTTTGAGTTGCTAGTGAAAATCCATGGGGAAGCATTTAATACAGTTTCCAGTTTATAACTGGGTTGTGTTTTAGAAATTCACTTCTCAGGAACTGGGTGGAACTTAGAACACATTCCTAGAGAAATAGCAGAGTTAAACATGATTCAGTTCTCAGACTCTAGTCCTTAAAAGCCTCTTTTACTTAAAACAGAGTTGAAATATACACCCTTCAGAATAAAGAAAATAATATTAGAAAAACATTATTATTGAGACACAGAGATTCAGCCTCCAAGAAAAAAGCAGTACAAGTGAATTAAGAGACGTGTCTTGTTGAGGAATAACTTTAATTAGGGTGAGTGAAGAGTTAACTTAAAACTTTCATGGAGACTTTGAAAAGAACTTTCAGCCATTTCTGAGATTTTAGATATTGGCAGCTGTAGTTCTTTGTTGTGGTTAATTACCCTTCAAAACTCAGACCTCTATGAAAGAATCAGATAATCATCCCGATAATGTTTTCCTTTCACAAAAAAATGGAATGCTCATAAATGGAATGAAGAAGGACAGAAGGAGATAGCCCAATTTTTTAAAAGAATTTTCCCAGAAAGAAAGGGAAAAAAAGAAGATCAAAAGAATGACTTCTTCCATGGGAGAAATGATGTTTGAAGTCCATTAAGTGGAGTTAGGAAAGGTACGAAGAAAGGAGGGGGACAGAGACAAATGCTTATGATTCCCTTGCATGAGGTCCTTAGAGTAGTCAAAACCAGAGAGACGGAAGTAGAGTGGTGTTAACCAGGCTGGGGTGAAGTGGGAATGGGAATTAGTGTGTAATGGGTATAGTTTTTTTTGTAAGGTGAAAGAGTATTATCTGGATGGTGGCATGACAGTGTGATTTGTGCACTTAGAAATGTTAAGACGCTAAATTTAATTTGTGTGCATTTTACCACAATAAAAGATAACTCAATTAAGAAAAAGGAAGGGCAATGCTACGTACGTCTTTCATCCCAAGTCTATCATAGGGTTAAAAGGATCTGAGAACTTGTCCCCTGAAGGTGATTAGAATCACCAGTGGGGATTGCAGGACCCTGCAGATGAAAACAGGGGAAGAGGATGTACAGCCAGTCGATCATTGTCCCCAAGTCAGGAGCTAGTAATTGAAGGCTTGTTTGCCCAGAGTTCTGCTGCCAGATAGCTTTACCAGTCTATGGGATGGCACAGAAAGCTGACAGTCAGGACACAAACATGCCTGGTTTCCTGTCTTCTTGATCACTGAGGACGATGTCCATTAAGTTGAAAGTTTCCCAGATTGAGAGAGGCATTTCCTAATAGGAAGCATTGATCAGCCAGGGTGTACCCTTGATTATTATGGATGCTGTATCAAAATAGAAAAGTGAAAGTTTATACCATTCTGTCACGGACGTCCATTAGTTTGATACAGTTAAGCTCTTTCTATTTCCCTTCTCCTTTCTCCCCATTAAACTTGTTAGAATCTCAAGGCTAACACTGCACAGCAATGGCCGTCAAATGAATCATTGGCTTTGATAATCAAGAAAAAACAAGATCAAGTAAAAAGGGAGAGGAAAAAGGGATCAACCATAGTGAGATAGCACCCTGAAATAGCAAAATCAGAAAAATAATAAGAGAATTTTTCAAATAATGCAGCTAAATATTCTCAAATGTGTATATGGTACCAACAGTAGTGTAAACTTAGTGCATTAAACATAATTTTTCCTTCTCATAATTGTTGCTGAGTCCAGTTTGTAAATTAAGGAATTACATATAACCAGGACGAAGCTTAGCTAGTTTTCCATTTAAATTATGAGGTAGAAAAGTAATCTCCGCTGTTCATTTTTAACAAGTTTGATTGCATGCATGTATGTGTAGAAAAGTTATTGGTCATACATAAGCTAAAAAAATGGAACATTAATGTCAAAATAAAACACGTCTTAGAGATTTAATATTCTCATTTGAAAATAGGGAATATTTCGTTTCTGGTAGAAAAGTCTGATAAATTTTCAATTTATTTGTCTTTCACTGTAATAAGTATGTCCTATTTGTGTCTGTTTCTAAAACTAAGCACTTTGAATATAAAAACCAGAAATCATATTAGGAATACACATACTTACATTTGAAATGCATGACCATACCTCATAAATAATTTAGTTCAAAACAGCTGCCTTAGTTGACTTCCTCATAATCAAAACAATTACCCTTTACATGCCTACCAGGCAGGGAAGGCATGTGCATAGTTCTAATTCCAAGAGTTAAGTTTATTTAGAGACTATCCTGACTTATTAGTTTTGTCACATTGAGTTTTTTTTGTTGTTTTTTTTTGCGGGGGGAGGTTAAAAGTATGCTTAAATGTGATATTGGGTGTGTTTGTGAACCAATTAATCATTGAAGAAATATTCACTAGCTGCCCTTTGTGGCCGAGTGCTTTGCCACCTATGGGAAGAACACTAACCATCACATCTGGAAATCTTCAACTTATAAAATAGTGTTTCTCATTCCAGAAAAAAATGTAATGTTAGGCTTCAAGTCTACTTAACCACCTAAGAGAATTCAGAAAGTGGCAGACTAGTGAGTTGAAAGTGGCCCCAGTAAGTCCTGGATTCGGGAACTGTGGTGGGCACAGAACAAAGTCTGTCTGCCTTTGGGACCACTGGTGGTCAGGTATCATCGAAGAGTGTGATTCTGCACACAGGTATAACATCAGAGTATGA